GTCAATAGTGTTGAATGCTACATTGAGGTCCAACAGAACCAGCACTGTGGTTCTTCCACAGTCTGTGTTTATAGGAAGACTAAACTGTGGTGGGATGGTCCATTTAAAATCTTTACTACACCTCAATGCTAAAGAAACATATACAGATCAATCTAGCCAGCTAAGAGAACAAAATACCTGAAATGAATAAAACCAGCACATGGCTAAAGAAATATGCATCTGTCAGTCAGTTTATAAGTCTTTATGAAGGAAAATATTTATGTCAAAATCTGACCCTACTTTATTAGACATAGAAACTCTTTTAGACTTCTATCTCTTACCTCATTCTGCAGCTCATCATCACTCCTGTGGGAGGTTAGCATCTCAAACAAGGAGGCGCACAGCTCCTCTGGGTTAGATGAAATCATATTTCCTCCTTCCAGGTATTTTTCCACTTCTCTTCGAAGGATGGATCCATCTCCAGAGCTTAAAGTTGTTCCACTGCGGGGCACATCATCTTCACTGGCAGACTTATATCCACTTTGCTGATTATTGAGAAAGTTGACAAAGTCTACATCCACTCTCTCATCATCAAGATCAGAACCTTGGAGGTCTTCCAGTGGGTCAAGCTTATATAAGTCATAAGAGAAATTAACGTTGCGTCCAAAGATAGAGCCTCGCTGGTAGTGGTAACGGGAACGCTGGGTTTTGATGAAATCTTCAACTTTGGCGTCATCAAGTGGGGCAACCAGCCGAGCCACGCAAGCACAGGAAGCTTCAGCTGCAGACGATGGAAATGGCCCAAACATTTGCTTAATGGCACGGGTCTCCTCTGTTCCAACATGGTCTTTGTTTTGGAAGGTCTCAAACAGAAAGACAGCAGCACATTCTATGGCCTCTTGACCATGTTCAGTACCAACTGTTAAACAGAAAAGAGACAAACTTTTACAAAATAATAGTTTTGTGTCACAGCAGCACTGTAAATAGCTTGTGATCACCTAGCTTTTTACCAAGTTATGAATTTCCTATCCATTCCTACACATGCATTGTCATTTTTATTTTCCTAGATATATTTCATATCTGTAAACACATTTACACCCATGCTAAACGTGTAAGATTGAAGGTAAAGGGAATTATTTATTTATGTATCACATTTTCAGCAACAAGGCAATACAAAGTGCAAAGAAACCTAGTTGGAATCATCAGGGCCTTTAAGGCCTTCACAGCAGGCCTAAACACTATCAGATTCACTATACCTACAATATATTTTATATTTTTTGTTCAGTTAAATACTGATTTACTTTCAATAGTCTATTCCAGGGGTGCTCAATATGAGTCGATCTCGGCAGTAGGTGACAAACTGAACGCCGCCAAGAGTCTGAAACCAGAGCATCATCTTCTGATGCGCTTATCAAAATATTCAAAGATCCAAAACGTTTGTAACAAAACGTGTTCAAATTAATGATCTCGGTAATTATTGTTTCAACAAAGTGTTGCACAATTCAGTGCGTTTTGGTTTCATTAACAAAAAACAACAACAAAAGAAATAGGCGACTCAAAGATCGACTGACGAGCAGAGAAGGACTTTAAATTAGCTAATCAAAATCTGCTGTGTTCAGGGGAGCGTTTATTAATAATCGCAAATTAAATATCAAGCCTGAAAACCTAATATTATAACGGACTGAATGTTATGCTTTTAACGTAGTTGTTGCTTGGCTTGCGTAGTGCAGGCAGTTGCCACGGCAATGGATGTGCTTAAGCAACAAAGAGAAAGAGAGAGCAAAAAGATACGAGTGGTTTTGAGCTGATCACCTCTTTTGGGTTATTTTACCTTTGCTGTGGCGCTTTATAGCCAATGTAGTTTCTGAACGGTCAATAAACGAAAAACTTGGACTAATTACCTCGTTCGTCTGAGAGTTTATAGTCATTCACGACAAACAAAGGGGACAAATATATTTCACTGAGATGCAACCAAATGACTTCTACCACAATAATTATGTGGAATTTAATTGTCTATTATTTACAAAAAAATTGTTTGGTGTTCTCTGGCAACTTGCTTTGAGCTCAGAGTCTGAAAGGCTTTTCCTCTATCAAACATGCTATTTATTTTTGTGTCTTATTTAGTGGAAATATTGATGTTGATACTTTTTCCAAAGTGATAATCTTTTTCAACCTGTATAGCTCCACTGTTGAAAATGAGGCTCTGACATTCACAAATGACATTGAAATAAATTCCAGTCCAACATCTGGTTTGAGGTGATTCCTCTGGAACCTTTTGGAGGAAAAATACCCCAACTTCAGATGATGGGCTTTTTATCTTAACAGCGTTCTGTGGTTCCTCCTATCAGTCTGAAATTTGTCATATTGAGGTCATCAAACCAAATTTCAGATCTGCCATAACTAACTGATACCTGCTGGCCTCAGGTTTGCAACCAGCTTCTGACTGAGAAACCAGTAACCTGCTCCCAGTGTCAGAATCTCACTGAGGAAGAAACTGCATCAGGTTTTCTGTCACTTTATTATTTCTGCTACAACTGATGCATATTCGCATATAAAATAAGTCAATAGAGTTTAATTTGCAATTTTTATGTCTTTGTGTCATGAGGTAGATTCTCAGGCGGCTGCTGAGAGAAAAAGTAGATCTTGCTCTCAAAAAGTTTGGGCACCCCTGCACTAAACCATTTCCCACACAAAGAACAGAACATTCAGTCCATTACAATTTT